ATTACCTCTACCCCTGCCTGCCAGGGTCATTATATTACCTCTACCCCTGCCTGCCAGGGTCATTATATTACCTCTACCCCTGCCTGCCAGTGTCATTATATTACCTCTACCTCTGCCTGCCAGTGTCATTATATTACCTCTACCCCTGCCTGCCAGGGTCATTATATTACCTTTACCCCTTCCTGCCAGTGTCATTATATTACCTCTACCCATGCCTGCCAGTGTCATTATATTACCTCAACCTCTGCCTACCAGTGTCATTATATTACCTCAACCTCTGCTGCCAGTGTCATTATTTTAAACCTCAACCCCTGCCTGCCAGGGTCATTATATTACCTCAACCCCTGCCTGCCAGGGTCATTATAATACCTCAACCTCTGCCTGCCAGTGTCATTATATTACCTCAACCTCTGCCTGCCAGTGTCATGATATTACCTCTACCCCTGCCTGCCAGGGTCATTATATTACCTCAACCCCTGCCTGCCAGGATCATTATATTACCTCAACCCCTGCCTGCCAGGGTCATTATATTACCTCAACCCCTGCCTGCCAGGGTCATTATATTACCTCTGCCCCTGCCTTCCAGTGTCATTATATTACCTCTACCCCTGCCTGCCAGGGTCATTATATTACCTCTACTTCTGCCGGCCAGGGTCATTATATTACCTCTACCCCTGCCTCCAGGGTCATTTATTACCTCTACCCCTGCCTGCCAGTGCATTATATTACCCAACCCCTGCCTCCTGGGTCTTATATTACCTCTACCCCTGCCTGCCAGGGTCATTATATTACCTCTACCCCTGCCTGCCAGTGTCATTATCTTACCTCTACCCCTGCCTGCCGGGTCATTATTACCTCTACCCCTGCCTCCCAGGGTCATTATATTACCTAAACCCCCTGCTGCCAGGGTCATTAAAATTACCTCTACCCCTGCCTGCCAGTGTCATTATATTACCTCTACCCCTGCCTGCCAGGGTCATTATATTACCTCTACCCCTGCCTGCCAGGGTCATTATATTACTTCTACCCCTGCCTGCCAGGGTCATTATATTACCTCTACCCCTGCCTGCCAGTGTCATTATATTACCTCTACCCTGCCTGCCAGTGTCATTATTTTTACCTCTACCCTGCCTGCCAGGGTCATTATATTACCCTACCCTCCCTGCCAGTTTTCATTATATTACCTCAACCCCTGCCTGCCAGGTCATATATATACCTCTACCCCTGCCTGCCAGGGTCATTATATTACCTCTAACCCTGCCTGCCAGTGTCATTATATTACCTCAACCCTTGCCTGCCAGGGTCATTATATTACCTCTACCCCTGCCTGCCAGGGTCATTATATTACCTCTACCCCTGCCTGCCAGTGTCATTATATTACCCAACCCCTGCCGGGCCAGGGTCATTATATTACCTCTACCCCTGCCTGCCAGGGTCTTTATATTACCTCTCCCCCTGCCTGCCAGGGTCATTATATTCCTCAACCCCTGCCTGCCAGGGGTCATAATTACCTCAACCCCTGCCTGCCAGGGTCATTATATTACCTCTACCCCTGCCTGCCAGGGTCATTATATTACCTCTACCCCTGCCTGCCAGTGTCATTATATTACCTCAACCCCTTCTTGCCGGGGTTTCATTAATTACCTCTACCCCTGCTGCCAGGGTCATTATATTACCTCTACCCCTGCCTGCCAGGGTCATTATATTACCTCTACCCCTGCCTGCCAGGGTCATTATATTACCTCTACCTCTGCTTGCCAGTGTCATTATATTACCTCTACCCCTGCCTGCCAGGGTCTTTTATATTACCTTACCCCTGCCTGCCATGTAAATATATTACTCTACCCCTGCCTGCCAGGGTCATTATATTACCTCTACCCCTGCCTGCCAGTGTCATTATATTACCTCTACCCCTTCCTGCCAGGGTCATTATATTACCTCTACCCCTGCCTTCCAGGGTCATTGTTACCTCCACCTCCTTAGATAATTCAAGAGCACTGAATCCCCTTAGATAATTCAAGAGTACTGAATCCCCTTAGATAATTCAAGAGTACTGAATCCCCTTAAACAATTCAGGAGTACTGAATCCCCTTAGATAATTCAAGAGTACTGAATCCCCTTAGATAATTCAAGAGTACTGAATCCCCTTAGAAAATTCAAGAGTACTGAATCCCCTTAGATAATTCAAGAGTACTGAATACCCTTATATAATTCAAGAGTACTGAATCCCCTTAGATAATTCAAGAGTACTGAATCCCCTTAGATAATTCAGGAAGACTGAATACCCTTAGATAATTCAAGAGTATTGAGTCCCCTTAGATAATTCAAGAGTACTGAATCCCCTTAGATAATTTAAGAGTACTGAATCCCCTTAGATAATTCAAGAGTACTGAATCCCCTTAGATAATTCAGGAAGACTGAATCCCCCTTAGATAATTCAAGAGTATTGAATCCCCTTAGATAATTCAAGAGTACTGAATCCCCTTAGATAATTCAAGAGTACTGAATCCCCTTAGATAATTCAAGAGTACTGAATCCCCTTAGATAATTCAAGAGTACTGAATCCCCTTAGATAATTCAGGAGGACTGGATCCTCTTAGATAATTCAGGAAGACTGAATCCCCTTAGATAATTCAAGAGTGCTGAATCCCCTTAGATAATTCAAGAGTACTGAATCCCCTTAGATAATTCAGGAAGACTGAATCCCCTTAGATAATTCAAGAGTATTGAATCCCCTTAAATAATTCAAGAGTACTGAATCCCCTTAGATAATTCAGGAAGACTGAATCCCCTTAGAAAATTCAAGAGTATTGAATCCCTTAGAAAATTCAAGAGTACTGAATCCCCTTAGATAATTCAAGAGTACTGAATTCCCTTAGATGATTCAAGAGTACTGAATCCCCTTAGATAATTCAGGAAGACTGAATCCCCTTAGATAATTCAAGAGTATTGAATCCCCTTAGATAATTCAAGAGTACTAAATCCCCTTAGATAATTCAAGAGTACTGAATCCCCTTAGATAATTCAAGAGTACTGAATCCCCTTAGATAATTCAGGAAGACAGAATCCCCTTAGATAATTCAAGAGTATTGAATCGCCTTAGATAATTCAAGAGTATTGAATCCCCTTAGATAATTCAAGAGTACTGAATCCCCTTAGATAATTCAAGAGTACTGAATCCCCTTAGATAATTCAAGAGTACTGAATCCCCTTAGATAATTCAGGAAGACAGAATCCCCTTAGATAATTCAAGAGTATTGAATCGCCTTAGATAATTCAAGAGTATTGAATCGCCTTAGATAATTAAAGAGTACTGAATCCCCTTAGATAATTCAAGAGTACTGAATCCCCTTAGATAATTCAAGAGTACTGAATCCCCTTAGATAATTCAGGAGGACTGGATCCCCTTAGGTAAGTTCCGGCAACAGAGTGATGGTTTTATCGCGCCAAGTTTGGTGCTCTGACCTGCTCGGGGTTCCCGCCAAATTTACGATATTTTGATGGACACGGATATTACTACACTCTTTTTTTACCGGCAAATTTTCAATTTTGTCAGAGTAATCGAGAGAGTGTGAGCAACGGTGAGTTATCTCTCTCTCTCTCTCTCTCTCTCTCTCTCTCTCTCTCTCTCTCTCTCTCTCTCTCTCTCTCTCTCTCTCTCTCTCTCTCTTATTATTACTATTTCTGGTAATTGTAATAATAATTATTATTATCAATTAGGTATATAAGAACACGAGGAAGACAAATAAATTAGGAGCAGGTGAGGATTTCAAGGAGCAGGTGGTGTGCAGGTGCACGTCCTTAGGTGCCACTTGACTCCCCTCATCTAGCACTTAAGAGTGAGAGAGAGTGAAAGAGAGAGAGAGTAACATCTCATAGCTTTTAAATACAATAGTGTAGGTAACGAGGCTACAGGTAGCATAGCAACAAGTAACGGGCTACAATTAGCGTAGTAATAAGTAACGAGGCTACTGGTAGCGTAGCAACAATCTGGCACTTGGTGAAGATACTTGTCCAGTTCCCTCTTGAAGACTTCTACACTTGTTCCAGCAGTGTTTCTGATATCTTCTGGTAAGATGTTGAATAATCTGGAGCCACGGATGTTGATACAGTGTTCTCTTATTGTGCTCACTGCACCCCTGCTCCTCACTGGGTTTATTTTACACTTCCTCCCATCTCTCTCACTCCAGTATGTTATGGCAGTGTCAGTGTGTAGGTTTGGGAAGAGGCACTCGAGTACTTTCCAGTATATATTATCATATATCACTCTCTTTGCCGCTCCAGTGAGTACATGTTCAACAAGACTTTAAGTCATTCCCAGTAATTTAAATGCTTTACTGGCTCTATGTGGGCCGTAAACGATCTATGTATTTGTTCCAGCACTGATATATCTCCTGCCCTGAACGGGGCCGTCAACACTGAGCAGTATTCCGAGTAAGGGAGCACTAGCGATTTGAAGAGTGTCAGTCACCACTGGCATTATTTGAAGAGTGTCACCACTGGCATTATTTCCTTTGTTTTGAAGGTTCTCAGTACCCCGTCATCCTCATGGTTGTCGTGACCTTTGTTTTATGTTCTTTAAAAGGTCACCTAACATTACTTTTCCCAAGACTTTCACGTGTTCCTTCTATATGACGATCCTCTTGTTTTATATAGTGTCCCTTTTGAGTTCTTCATTCTTTCTATACCTAAGCAGCTGGAACTTATCAACACTGAACCACAACAACAACAAAACCACAACAGAGACAACAAATACACAACAAAAACACTACACTTTGACTCACTCCAACTCGCTTTTTTTTTTTTTTTTTTTTTTTTGTTGTTACCCAACTCTCTCATCCAAATGTAAACATCACTTAGACTAGTCTCCCGCCTCTCCTCTCTCTCTCTCTCTCTCTCTCTCTCTCTCTCTCTGTTTAATACTTAATAATGATCCACATTGGGTTATTATTGACTATATAATAATAATAATAATAGTATAATAATAATTACTGTTGCAGGTCAGGTGTTCTACCAGAATCTGTTGGATCGCCAGGAAGCTCTGGCGACAGGTGAAGGTCCTAAGGTAGACGACATGTCGTACCTGGGGTACTCTGCTGCCTCTGGGGATTTTACTGGGGACGGTGTGGACGACCTGGTGGTGGGCATGCCCAGGGGCAACGACCTCACCGGCCAGGTGGTCGTTCTAGAAGAGAGGCTCACCATTCTCTATAATATTAGTGGTGACCAAGTGAGTTGTTGCTGCTGGTTAGGGATTGGGTGGTAGTTATGGTGATAATTGTGATTAATGGAATAGTGGTAATGATATATAATAAACATAATAATCATTTTTTTCTTCTTTTCTCTTCCTATCTTCCTCCACGTCTCCTGCCATCCTCCCCTCCGCCTCACATCCCCTCTCCCCCCTCCTGGCGGTGGTCACAGGTGGGGTCGTACTTCGGGTACAGTGTAGCAGTGGTGGACAGTGACGGTGACCAGCTAATGGACATAGCAGTGGGTGCCCCCTGGTACACTGACCCACACTCCTCCAGTGACTACGAGGTGGGCATGGTGGCTCTCTACCTGCAGACACCTCAGGTCAGTACCTTAATGTTATTGTAAGTGGTGTGTGTATAGTGTTTTATTGTAAGTGGTGTGTGTATAGTGTTTTATTGTAAGTGGTGTGTGTATACAGTGTTTTATTGTAAGTGGTGTGTGTATACAGTGTTTATTGTAAGTGGTGTGTGTATAGTGTTTTATTGTAAGTGGGTGGTGTGTGTATAGTGTTTTATTGTAAGTAGTGTGTGTATCAGTGTTTTATTGTAAGTGGTGTGTGTATAGTGTTTTATTGTAAGTGGTGTGTGTATACAGTGTTTTATTGTAAGTGGTGTGTGTATACAGTGTTTTATTGTGTGGTGTGTGTATACAGTGTTTTATTGTAGTGGTGTGTGTATAGTGTTTTATTGTAAGTGGTTGTGTGTTATAGTGTTTTATTGTAATGTGGTGTTGTGTATAGTGTTTTATTGTAAGTGGTGTGTGTGTATAGTGTTTTATTGTAAGTGGTGTGTGTATACAGTGTTTATTGTAAGTGGTGTGTGTATACAGTGTTTATTGTAAGGGGTGTGGTATACAGTGTTTTATTGTAAGTGGTGTGTGTATAGTGTTTTTATTGTAAGTGGTGTGTGTATAGTGTTTTATTGTAAGTGGTGTGTGTATAGTGTTTATTGTAAGTGGTGTGTGTATACAGTGTTTATTGTAGTGGTGTGTGTAATAGTGTTTTATTGTAAGTGGTGTGTGTATAGTGTTTTATTGTAAGTGGTGTGTGTATACAGTGTTTTATTGTAAGTGGTGTGTGTATCATGTTTTATTGTAAGTGGTGTGTGTATACATGTTTATTGTTGTGGTTGTGTATACAGTGTTTTATTGTAAGTGGTGTGTGTATACAGTGTTTATTGTAAGTGGTGTGTGATAATGTTTTATTGTAAGTGGTGTGTGTATAGTGTTTTATTGTAAGTGGTGTGTGTATACAGTGTTTTATTGTAAGTGGTGTGTGTATAATGTTTATTGTAAGTGGTGTGTGATAAGTGTTTTATTGTAAGTGGTGTGTGTATACAGTGTTTATTGTAAGTGGTGTGTGTATACAGTGTTTTATTGTAAGTGGTGTGTGTATAGTGTTTTATTGTAAGTGGTGTGTGTATACAGTGTTTTATTGTAAGTGGTGTGTGTATATGTTTTATTGTAAGTGGTGTGTGTATACAGTGTTTTATTGTAAGTGGTGTGTGTATCAGTGTTTATTGTAAGTGGTGTGTGTATACAGTGTTTTATTGTAAGTGGTGTGTGTATAAGTGTTTTATTGTAAGTGGTGTGTGTATACAGTGTTTTATTGTAAGTGGTGTGTGTTATAGTGTTTTATTGTAAGTGGGTGTGTGTATAGTGTTTTATTGTAAGTGGTGTGTGTATAATGTTTTATTGTAAGTGGTGTGTGTATACAGTTTTTTATTGTAAGTGGTGTGTGTTACAGTGTTTATTGTAAGTGGTGTGTGTATACAGTGTTTTATTGTAAGTGGTGTGTGTATACAGTGTTTATTGTAAGTGGTGTGTGTATACAGTGTTTATTGTAAGTGGTGTGTGTATACAGTGTTTTATTGTAAGTGGTGTGTGTATAGTGTTTTATTGTAAGTGGTGTGTGTATAGTGTTTTATTGTAAGTGGTGTGTGTATACAGTGTTTTATTGTAAGTGGTGTGTGTATACAGTGTTTATTGTAAGTGGTGTGTGTATACAGTGTTTTTTGTAAGTGGTGTGTGTATACAGTGTTTATTGTAAGTGGTGTGTGTATACAGTGTTTTATTGTAAGTGGTGTGTGTATAGTGTTTTATTGTAAGTGGTGTGTTTTATAGTGTTTTATTGTAAGTGGTGTGTGTATAATGTTTTATTGTAAGTGGTGTGTGTTAGTGTTTTATTGTAAGTGGTGTGTGTATAATGTTTTATGTAAGTGGTGTGTGTATAGTGTTTTTTGTAAGTGGTGTGTGTATAGTGTTTTATTGTAAGTGGTGTGTGTATACAGTGTTTATTGTAAGGGTGGTGTGTGTATAATGTTTTATTGTAAGTGGTGTGTGTATACAGTGTTTATTATAAGTGGTGTGTGTATAATGTTTTATTGTAAGTGGTGTGTGTATAATGTTTTATTGTAAGTGGTGTGTGTATACAGTGTTTATTGTAAGTGGTGTGTGTATAGTGTTTTATTGTAAGTGGTGTGTGTATACAGTGTTTTATTGTAAGTGTGTGTGTATAATGTTTTATTGTAAGTGGTGTGTGTGTATAATGTTTTATTGTAAGTGGTGTGTGTATACAGTGTTTTATTGTAAGTGGTGTGTGTATAGTGTTTTATTGTAAGTGGTGTGTGTAAAAGTGTTTTATTGTAAGTGGTGTGTGTATACAGTGTTTTATTGTAAGTGGTTGTGTGTATAATGTTTTATTGTAAGTGGTGTGTGTATATCAGTTTTTTATTGTAAGTGGTGTGTGTATAATGTTTTATTGTAAGTGGTGTGTGTATACAGTGTTTATTGTAAGTGGTGTGTGTATAATGTTTTATTGTAAGTGGTGTGTGTATAATGTTTTATTGTAAGTGGTGTGTGTATACAGTGTTTATTGTAAGTGGTGTGTGTATAATGTTTTATTGTAAGTGGTGTGTGTATAATGTTTTATTGTAAGTGGTGTGTGTATACAGTGTTTATTGTAAGTGGTGTGTGTATACAGTGTTTATTGTAAGTGGTGTGTTTTATAATGTTTTATTGTAAGTGGTGTGTGTATAGTGTTTTATTGTAAGTGGTGTATGTATAATGTTTTATTGCAAGTGGTGTGTGTTATAGTGTTTTAGTGTAAGTGGTGTGTGTATAATGTTTTATTGTAAGTGGTGTGTGTATAATGTTTTATTGTAAGTGGATGTGTGTATAATGTTTTATTGTAAGTGGTGTGTGTATAGTGTTTTATTGTAAGTGGTGTGTGTATATGTTTTATTGTAAGTGGTGTGTGTATAATGTTTTTATTGTAAGTGGTGTGTGTATAATGTTTTATTGTAAGTGGTGTGTGTATAATGTTTATTGTAAGTGGTGTGTGTATAGTGTTTTATTGTAAGTGGTGTGTGTATAGTGTTTTATTGTAAGTGGTGTGTGTATAATGTTTTATTGTAAGTGGTGTGTGTATAGTGTTTTATTGTAAGTGGTGTGTGTATAATGTTTTATTGTAAGTGGTGTGTGTATAATGTTTTATTGTAAGTGGTGTGTGTATAATGTTTTATTGTAAGTGGTGTGTGTATAGTGTTTTATTGTAAGTGGTGTGTGTATAATGTTTTTTTGAAAGTGTGTGTGTATAATGTTTTATTGTAAGTGGTGTGTGTATAATGTTTTATTGTAAGTGGTGTGTGTATAATGTTTTATTGTAAGTGGTGTGTGTATAGTGTTTTATTGTAAGTGGTGTGTGTATAGTGTTTTATTGTAAGTGGTGTGTGTATAATGTTTTATTGTAAGTGGTGTGTGTATAGTGTTTTATTGTAAGTGGTGTGTGTATAATGTTTTATTGTAAGTGGTGTGTGTATAATGTTTTATTGTAAGTGGTGTGTGTATACAGTGTTTTATTGTAAGTGGTGTGTGTATAAGGTTTTATTGTAAGTTGTGTGTGTATAATGTTTTATTGTAAGTGGTGTGTGTATAATGTTTTATTGTAAGTGGTGTGTGTATACAGTGTTTTATTGTAAGTGGTGTGTGTAGTGTTTATTGTAAGTGGTTGTTATAGTGTTTTTTGTAAGTGGTGTGTGTATACAGTGTTTTATTGTAAGTGATGTGTGTATACAGTGTTTATTGTAAGTGGTGTGTGTATAATGTTTTATTGTAAGTGGTGTGTGTATAATGTTTTATTGTAAGTGGTGTGTGTATACAGTGTTTATGTAAGTGGTGTGTGTTAATGTTTTATTGTAAGTGGTGTGTGTATAATGTTTATTGTAAGTGGTGTGTGTATACAGTGTTTATTGTAAGTGGTGTGTGTATAATGTTTTATTGTAAGTGGTGTGTGTATAATGTTTTATTGTAAAGTGGTGTGTGTATACAGTGTTTATTGTAAGTGGTGTGTGTATAATGTTTTATTGTAGTGGTGTGTGTATAATGTTTTATTGTAAGTGGTGTGTGTATACAGTGTTTTATTGTAAGTGGTGTGTGTATAATGTTTTATTGTAAGTGGTGTGTGTATACAGTGTTTATTGTAAGTGGTGTGTGTATAATGTTTTATTGTAAGTGGTGTGTGTATAATGTTTTATTGTAAGTGGTGTGTGTATAGTGTTTTATTGTAAGTGGTTGTGTTAGTGTTTTATTGTAAGTGTGTGTGTATAGTGTTTTATTGTAAGTGTGTGTGTATACGTGTTTATTGTAAGTGTGTGTATACAGTGTTTATTGTAAGTGGTGTGTGTATAATGTTTTATTGTAAGTGGTGTGTGTATATGTTTTTATTGTAAGTGGTGTGTATAGTGTTTTATTGTAAGTGGTGGTATACAGTGTTTATTGTAAGTGGTGTGTGTATAATGTTTTATTGTAAGTGGTGTGTGTATAATGTTTTATTGTAAGTGGTGTGTGTATAGTGTTTTATTGTAAGTGGTGTGTGTATACAGTGTTTATTGCGTTACGTCACGTGACCTCTCTCAGCTGAGAGAGGTCACGTCACATAACATTACAAGCTCACGAAGGTCATAAGCTTATGTAAAGCTCTACATAGAGCCAAAACATAACCTTGTGAAGCTCTACACAGGGTGATACATGATAAAGCTCTACAGAGGGTGATACATGACTTAATAAAGCTCTACAGAGGGTGATACATGACTTAATAAAGCTCTACACAGGGTGATACATGACTTAATAAAGCTCTACACAGGGTGATACATGACTTAATAAAGCTCTACACAGGGTGATACATGCTTAATAAGCTTACACAGGGTGATACATGACTTATAAAGCTCTACACAGGGTGATACATGATTTTAATAAAGCCCTACAGAGGGTGATACATGACTTAATAAAGCTCTACACAGGGTGATACATGACTTAATAAAGCCCTACAGAGGGTGATACATGACTTAATAAAGCTCTACACAGGGTGATACATGACTTAATAAGCCCTACAGGGGTGATACATGACTTAATAAAGCTCTACACAGGGTGATACATGACTTAATAAAGCTCTACACAGGGTGATACATGACTTAATAAAGCCTACAGAGGGTGATACATGACTTAATAAAGCTCTACACAGGGTGTATACGTGACTTAATAAAGCTTACACAGGGTGATACATGACTTAATAAAGCTCTACAGAGGGTGTATACATGACTTGATAAAGCCCTACAGAGGGTGATACATGACTTAATAAAGCCTACAGAGGGTGATACATGACTTAATAAAGCTCTACAGAGGGTGATACATGACTTAATAAAGCCCTACAGAGGGTGATACATGACTTAATAAAGCTTACAGAGGGTGATACATGACTTAATAAAGCTCTACAGAGGGTGATACATGACTTAATAAGCCTACAGGGGGTGATACATGACTTAATAAAGCTCTAACAGGGGTGATAATGACTTGATAAGCTCTACAGAGGGTGATACATGACTTAATTAAAGCTCTACACAGGGTGATACATGACTTAATAAAGCCCTACGGGGTGTACATGACTTAATAAAGCTCTCAGATGGGTGATACATGACTTTATATAAGCTCTACACAGGGTGATACATGACTTAATAAAGCCCTACAGAGGGTGATACATGACTTAATAAAGCTACACAGGGTGATACATGACTTAATAAAGCCCTACAGAGGGTGATACATGACTTAATAAAGCTCTCAACAGGGTGATACATGACTTAATAAAGCCCTACAGAGGGTGATAATGACTTAATAAAGCTCTACACAGGGTGATACGTGACTTAATAAAGCTCTACACAGGGTGATACTTTGACTTAATAAAGCCCTACAGAGGTGATACATGACTTAATAAAGCTCTACACAGGGTGATACGTGACTTAATAAAGCTCTACACAGGGTGATACATGACTTAATAAAGCCTACAGAGGGTGATACATGACTTAATAAAGCTCTACACAGGGTGATACGTGACTTAATAAAGCTCTACACAGGGTGATACATGACTTAATAAAGCCCTACAGAGGGTGATACATGACTTAATAAAGCTCTACACAGGGTGATACGTGACTTAATAAAGCTCTACACAGGGTGATACATGACTTAATAAAGCCCTACAGAGGGTGATACATGACTTAATAAAGCTCTACACAGGGTGATACGTGACTTAATAAAGCTCTACACAGGGTGATACATGACTTAATAAAGCCCTACAGAGGGTGATACATGACTTAATAAAGCTCTACACAGGGTGATACGTGACTTAATAAAGCTCTACACAGGTGATACATGACTTAATAAAGCCCTACAGAGGGTGATACATGACTTAATAAAGCTCTACACAGGGTGATACATGACTTAATAAAGCCCTACAGAGGGTGATACATGACTTAATAAAGCTCTACACAGGGTGATACATGACTTAATAAAGCTCTACACAGGGTGATACATGACTTAATAAAGCCCTACAGAGGGTGATACATGACTTAATAAAGCTCTACAGAGGGTGATACATGACTTAATAAAGCCCTACAGAGGGTGATACATGACTTAATAAAGCTCTACAGAGGGTGATACATGACTTGATAAAGCCCTACAGAGGGTGATACATGACTTAATAAAGCCCTACAGAGGGTGATACATGACTTAATAAAGCTCTACAGAGGGTGATACATGACTTAATAAAGCCCTACAGAGGGTGATACATGACTTAATAAAGCTCTACAGAGGGTGATACATGACTTGATAAAGCTCTACAGAGGGTGATACATGACTTAATAAAGCTCTACACAGGGTGATACATGACTTAATAAAGCCCTACAGAGGGTGATACATGACTTAATAAAGCTCTACAGAGGGTGATACATGACTTAATAAAGCTCTACACAGGGTGATACATGACTTAATAAAGCCCTACAGAGGGTGATACATGACTTAATAAAGCTCTACAGAGGGTGATACATGACTTAATAAAGCCCTACACGGGTGATACATGACTTAATAAAGCTCTACAGAGGGTGATACATGACTTAATAAAGCCCTACACGGGTGATACATGACTTAATAAAGCCCTACACGGGTGATACATGACTTAATAAAGCTCTACAGAGGGTGATACATGACTTAATAAAGCCCTACACGGGTGATACATGACTTAATAAAGCTCTACAGAGGGTGATACATGACTTAATAAAGCTCTACAGAGGGTGATACATGACTTAATAAAGCTCTACAGAGGGTGATACATGACTTAATAAAGCTCTACAGAGGGTGATACATGACTTAATAAAGCTCTACACAGGGTGATACATGACTTAATAAAGCTCTACAGAGGGTGATACATGACTTAATAAAGCTCTACACAGGGTGATACATGACTTAATAAAGCTCTACACAGGGTGATACATGACTTAATAAAGCTCTACAGAGGGTGATACATGACTTAATAAAGCTCTACAGAGGGTGATACATGACTTAATAAAGCTCTACACAGGGTGATACATGACTTAATAAAGCCCTACACAGGGTGATACATGACTTAATAAAGCTCTACAGAGGGTGATACATGACTTAATAAAGCTCTACAGAGGGTGATACATGACTTAATAAAGCTCTACACAGGGTGATACATGACTTAATAAAGCTCTACAGAGGGTGATACATGACTTAATAAAGCTCTACAGAGGGTGATACATGACTTTAATAAAGCTCTACACAGGGTGATACATGACTTAATAAAGCTCTACAGAGGGTGATACATGACTTAATAAAGCTCTACACAGGGTGATACATGACTTAATAAAGCCCTACAGAGGGTGATACATGACTTAATAAAGCTCTACACAGGGTGATACATGACTTAATAAAGCTCTACAGAGGGTGATACATGACTGATGTCTCAGTCTGTGCTGTCAAACAGCACAACTTCCAGAGGTCAACAAGACTGACGGGGGTCAAGTCGCGGAGTCACTTCGGTCTGGCCTTGACCTCCCTGGGAGATATTGACAGAGACGGGTACCAGGACCTGGCTGTGGGTGCCCCCATGGACGGCCCAAAGGGCCAGGGAGGAGTCTACATCTACCTAGGCAGCCCTGAGGGCCTCAGCAGCAAGCCCTCCCAGGTAGGTTGTGATTGTGGTTTATCGGTCATCTAGTCGTCAATTCTAGGGATGGGGTGTGTGTTGAGTTCTTGAAGACAGCTAAAGAGGGTTGTTGAAGACAGCTAGGGGTGTTGAAGACAGCTAGGGAGGGGTGTTGAAGACAGCTAGGAGTGTTGAAGACAGCTAGGGAGGGGTGTTGAAGACAGCTAAAGAGGGTTGTTGAAGACAGCTAGGGGTGTTGAAGACAGCTAGGGAGGGGTGTTGAAGACAGCTAGGAGTGTTGAAGACAGCTAGGGAGGGGTGTTGAAGACAGCTAGGAGTGTTGAAGACAGCTAGGGAGGGGTGTTGAAGACAGCTAGGAGTGTTGAAGACAGCTAGGGAGGGGTGTTGAAGACAGCTAGGAGTGTTGAAGACAGCTAGGGAGGGGTGTTGAAGTTAGCTAGGAGGGTTGAAGACAGCTAGGGGGGTTGAAGACAGCTAGGGAGGGGTGTTGAAGACAGCTAGGGGAGGTTGAAGACAGCTAGGGGGTTGAAGACAGCTAGGGGGTGTTGAAGATAGCTAGGACTGTTGAAGACAGCTAGGGAGGGGTGTTGAAGACAGCTAGGAGGGTTGAAGACAGCTAGGGAGGGGTGTTGAAGACAGCTAGGGGGGTTGAAGACAGCTAGGGGGGTTGAAGACAGCTAGGGCGGTTGAAGACAGTTAGGGCTGTTGAAGACAGCTAGGGAGGTGTGTTGAAGACAGCTAGGAGGGTTGAAGACAGCTAGGGGGGGTTGAATACAGCTAGGGGGTTGAAGACAGCTAGGGAGGGGTGTTGAAGACAGCTAGGGGGTTGAAGACAGCTAGGGAGGGGTGTTGAAGACAGCTAGGAGGGTTGAAGACAGCTAGGGGGTTGAAGACAGCTAGGGGAGGTTGAAGACAGCTAGGGGGTTGAAGACAGCTAGGGGGGGTTGAAGATAGCTAGGGGAGGTTGAAGACAGCTAGGGGTTGAAGACAGCTAGGGGAGGTTGAAGATAGCTAGGGCTGTTGAAGACAGCTAGGGTGGGGTGTTGAAGACAGCTAGGAGGGTTGAAGACAGCTAGGGAGGGGTGTTGAAGACAGCTAGGGGGGTTGAAGACAGCTAGGGGGGTTAGAAGACAGGGGGGTTGAAGACAGCTAGGGAGGGGTGTTGAAGACAGCTAGGGCGGTTAAGACAGCTAGGGCTGTTGAATACAGCTAGGGAGGGGTGTTGAAGACAGCTAGGATTGTTGAAGACAGCTAGGATTGTTGAAGACAGCTAGGGGGATTGAAGACAGCTAGGGGGTTGAAGACAGCTAGGGAGGGGTGTTGAAGACAGCTAGGGGAGGTTGAAGACAGCTAGAGAGAGGTGTTGAAGACAGCTAGGATGGTTGAAGACAGCTAGAGAGGGGTGTTGAAGACAGCTAGGAGGGTTGAAGACAGCTAGGAGGGTTGAAGACAGCTAGGGAGGGGGGTTGAAGACAGCTAGGGAGGGGTGTTGAAGACAGCTAGGGGAGGTTGAAGACAGCTAGAGAGGGGTGTTGAAGACAGCTAGGGGAGGTTGAAGACAGCTAGAGAGGGGTGTTGAAGACAGCTAGGGCTGTTGAAGACAGCTAGGGAGGGGTGTTGAAGACAGCTAGTTAGGGGTGTTGAAGACAGCTAGGGCTGTTGACAGCTAGGGAGGGGTGTTGCAGGCAACTAGGGAGGGGTGTTGAAGACAGTTAGAGGGTGTTGAAGACAGCTAGGGGGGTGAAGACAGCTAGGGAGGGGTGTTGAAGACAGCTAGTTAGGGGTGTTGAAGACAGCTAGGGCTGTTGACAGCTAGGGAGGGGTGTTGCAGGCAACTAGGGAGGGGTGTTGAAGACAGCTAGGGGGGTTGAAGACAGCTAGGGGGTTGAAGACAGCTAGGGAGGGGTGTTGAAGACAGCTAGGGGAGGTTGAAGACAGCTAGAGAGAGGTGTTGAAGACAGCTAGGATGGTTGAAGACAGCTAGAGAGGGGTGTTGAAGACAGCTAGGAGGGTTGAAGACAGCTAGGAGGGTTGAAGACAGCTAGGGAGGGGGGTTGAAGACAGCTAGGGAGGGGTGTTGAAGACAGCTAGGGGAGGTTGAAGACAGCTAGAGAGGGGTGTTGAAGACAGCTAGGGGAGGTTGAAGACAGCTAGAGAGGGGTGTTGAAGACAGCTAGGGCTGTTGAAGACAGCTAGGGAGGGGTGTTGAAGACAGCTAGTTAGGGGTGTTGAAGACAGCTAGGGCTGTTGACAGCTAGGGAGGGGTGTTGCAGGCAACTAGGGAGGGGTGTTGAAGACAGTTAGAGGGTGTTGAAGACAGCTAGGGGGGTGAAGACAGCTCGGGGTGTTGACAGCTAGGGGTGTTGAATACAGCTAGAGGGTGTTGAAGACAGCTAGGGGGGTGAAGACAGCTAGGGGATGTTGAAGACAGCTAGGGAGTGTTGAAGACAGCTATGGGGTGTTGAAGACAGCTAGGGGGTGTTGAAGACAGCTAGGGGGTGTTGAAGACAGCTACGGAGGGGTGTTGAAGACAGCTAGGGAGTGTTGAAGACAGCTAGGGAGGGGTGTTGAAGACAGCTAGGGAGTGTTGAAGACAGCTAGGGAGGGGGGTTGAAGACAGCTAGGGAGGGGTGTTGAAGACAGCTAGGGGGTGTTGAAGACAGCTAGGGAGGGGTGTTGAAGACAGCTAGGGGGTGTTGAAGACAGCTAGGGAGGGGTGTTGAAGACAGCTAGGGGGTGTTGAAGACAGCTAGGGAGTGTTGAAGACAGCTAGGGAGTGTTGAAGACAGCTAGGGGTGTTGAAGGCACACACACACACACACACACACACACACACACACACACACACACACACACACACACACACACACACACACACACACTGCCACCATGGGTTCAAAGATAGTAAATCCTGTTTCACAAACCGGCTTCAATTCTTTGACAAGAGAAGGATGGCGGCTCTGCATATTAGTGGAGGACAAAAGGTCATGTGACTCAGTACCGCACTAAATAACTAGGGGAAAATCTAAATCGGTAGACAATGGTGACAGTTAAGATACTACAATAGATTAAAGAATTGTCTAGTGGGAGGGAGGTTAGGTTAGGTTAGGCCTGTCAAGAAACAGGACAAGTGTTTCCTGACGCTGGTCTTCAGGTTAGGTTAGGTAATGTTTGTCAGGAAACAGGACAAGTGTTTCCTGACGCTGGTCTTCAGGTTAGGGTTAGGTAATGTTTTGTCAGGAAACAGGACAAGTGTTTCCTGACGCTGGTCTTCAGGTTAGGTTAGGTAAGGTTTGTCAGGAAACAGGACAAGTGTTTCCTGACGCTGATCTTCAGGTTAGGTTAGGTAAGGTTTGTCAGGAAACAGGACAAGTGTTTCCTGACACTGGTCTTCAGGTTAGGTTAGGTAAGGTTTGTCAGGAAACAGAACAAGTGTTTCCTGACGCTGGTCTTCAGGTTAGGTTAGGTAAGGATTGTCAGGAAACAGAACAAGTGTTTCCTGACGCTGGTCTTCAGGTTAGGTTAGGTAAGGTTTGTCAGGAAACAAGACAAGTGTTTCCTGACGCTGGTCTTCAGGTTAGGTTAGGTAAGGTTTGTCAGGAAACAGGACAAGTGTTTCCTGACGCTGGTCTTAGTCATATGATGACCCACAACTGGAGCTTTTGGTCATCTGACCGAGGCCTTCCGCTGGCTTACCCCTCCACCCCTTTAAAAATTATGGTTATGATTATAGACATTAGTTAATGGGAAGGAGACACAGTAATGATATGGGAAGAGGCATCAGAATGGGAAAGTATAGCTGGTGGGGTTGCACAAGGATCAGTACTGCTTTTGTAGCGTTTTTAGTCTGATATATCCCTGAACACAGATAAGAATAAAAACCAGTTGACCCTAGCATATGGGTTTAGGGTTCCCTAATTCTTTTTTCCACCACTACTGCAGGTGCTGCTTGGGGAGGAGATGAGTCGTGGAGGTGCGCCTACCTTCGGCTGGTCCTTAGCTGGAGGTGAAGATTTGGATGGTAATGAGTACCCAGACCTGCTGGTGGGAGCCTACGATGCCAACAGTGTATTTGTGTTGCGTGCTAGACCTGTAGTACACACACATGCCTCTCTCAAGTAAGTTATCAGTAGTACACACACACACACACACACACACACACACACACGTGGGTGTTAGTTGTGTGTTGTGGGTGGCATCCCAGGGGATGGTACTATACCTTAGATAGTACTGGGCTTTGACATAAAGCAGGACAACATCTCTTAGCCTTTAAAATTGATCTTTTCTGCATTGTACCATATCGTCTACTATCTTGCCCTCTCCATGTACTCACGTGTATGTATCTGTCTGCAGGTTCAAATCTGAGAGCGGCATCGTTGACCTGGAGGTGTTGAGATGCTCCCTCCAAGACAGGACGGAGGTACCCTGCGTCTCTCTCCAATATTGTCTTAAATATACGGGACACCGTGTCCCCTCCACCCTCAGTGAGTATTACTGCTCTGGCTTCTCTGTCTCTCTAGCTTCTGTGTTGTCCTCTGATTGTCTAGGTCCTAGGGATCCCTCTGGTTCTCTGTAAGACAAAGACCATTCTTTAAGGCCTATTGGGGTTTGAAGACCCTCTGGCTCTCTTTAAACCTATAGGAGGGTCTTCAGAGACCCTCTGACTCCCTGGGCATATGTTATTTACGAAGTTATTTAAATTTTGCAAGCAGATTTTGGATACCTGCCGTTGTGCACAGAGATGTTGATAAACACACGTACAACACCTGGGTATCTTTATTATGGCAAGTTTTCCACAGTAAAGATACCCAAGTGTTGGACATGTGTCTAATTGATCAACTTGTCGGGTCTCCGGACCATTATCCGCAGAGATGGAGGTGTGGCTGCAGGTGGACACGAAGGCAGAGCTGGCACCCAGGATGTTCTTCCTGCAGAGGGAGGGCCACACCCTTCACAACCTCACACTGGAACTCAGGAAGTCTGTTGAGCACTGTGCTACCATCTACACTTACTTGACGGTGAGCCCTGGTGTAATCTATCTTAACTGGCCTCACGGTGACCTAGTGTAATCTATCGTCATTGTGACCTAGTGTAGGCTATCTTAACTGGCCTCACGGTGACCTAGTGTAATCTATCGTCATTGTGACCTAGTGTAGGCTATCTTAACTGTGGCCTCGCGGTGACCTAGTGTAGTCTATTAACTGTGGCCTCACGGTGACCTAGTGTAGTCTGTCGTCACTGTGACCTAGTGTAGTCTATCGTCATGGTGACCTGGTGTAGTCTACACTGTGACCTTACAGTGACCTAGTGTAGTCTCTTTACTGTGACCTTAGTGACCTAGTGTAGTCTACCTTCACTGTGACCTTACAGTGACCTAGTGTAGTCTACCTTCACTGTGACCTTACAGTGACCTGTAGTCTACACTGTGACCTCAGTGACCTAGTGTAGTCTATCATTACTGTGACCTTACAGTGACGTAGTGCAGTCTACCTTCACTGTGACCTTACAGTGGCATGGTGTAGTTACCTCCATTGTGGCCTTACAGTGACCTAGTGTAGTCTACCTCTACTGTGACCTTACAGTGACCTAGTGTAGTCTATCTTTACTGTAACCTTACAGTGACCTAGTGTAGAGTGCCTTCATTGTGACCTTACATTGATCTAGTGTAGTCTGTCTTCACTGTGACCTGACGATGACTTGGTGTAGTCTATTTTTACTGTGACCTTACAGTGACCTAGTGTAGTCTACCTCCATTGTGGCCTTACAGTGACCTAGTGTAGTCTACACTGTGACCTCAGTGACCTAGTGTAGTGTACACTGTAACCTCATTGACCTAGTGTAGTCTACACTGTGACCTCACGGTGACCTAGTGTAGTGTACACTTTGACCTCAGTGACCTAGTGTAGTGTACACTTTGACCTCAGTGACCTAGTGTGGTCTACACTGTGACCTCAGTGACCTAGTGTAGTCTACACTGTGACCTCAGTGACCTAGTGTAGTGTACACTTTGACCTCAGTGACCTAGTGTGGTCTACACTGTGACCTCACCCATGTTCCCCTCTGATTGGCTGACAGCTTTATTGTTCCACTTCCTTGGATCAAGACCCCATTCACCATCATCATTCTCATGGCACTCTCCAAAGGGCTCTTGATCCGAGGAAAGGAGCTGCCTCCCCCCTCGGAAAAAACGATGGCCCTTTGTGCCCCTCCCACTACCCTTCGGGTTAAACGTTTTCCCAAAATAATCATAATTTTTTTTATTTTATCAAGCCATAATTCACATAATTATTAGCTTAAATCATTTATGTGATGTAGTGTTAAAACTAATTTTTTGATTTTTTTTTAAAAATGGTATAAATAGTGTATCTTTAATAAATAAAAAAATAATAATAATAAATAATTAATAATAACAATAATAAATAAAAAAATTTTAAATTGTGGTTGAATGTTCGGGAACCGACACGTGATAAATTAAAATTTGGATACTTAATTGGGAAAAACGTTTGGCCACACAGTGGCTTATCATCCGTACAAAGAAGAAGGGTGAAGAAAGGGGGAGTTTGGGGGGTAATCAGTCCCTCGCTTGAGTCAGTGGTCATCCTCGTCTTGAGAAAACAATATATGTCGAAGAAAAAGGAGTTTATACTGTAGGCAGGTGAGGTACAGCGTCGTGGGGGTGACACATTTGTCCAGTGTGAAGTAGGTCATGCCAAGGGTAGGTCAGTGGGAATTTGGTCATGACCAAAGGGGAGGTCAGTGTGGAAGTAGGTCATGACCAAGGGTCATCATGTGGAAGTAGGCATGCCCCGGGTCGGTCGTGTGGAAGTAGGTCATGACCAAGGGTCAGGTCAGGGTGGGGGTAGGTCATGACCAAGGGTCAGGTCAGGTGGAAATAGGTCAGACCAAGGCGGCAGGGGGAATAAAGGTCATACCCAAAGGGGCGGTCTGTGGAAAATAGGTCATGACCCAAGGGGCCCGTCCGTGTGGAAGTAGGTCATGCCCAAGGGTCGGTCGTGTGGGGAAATAGGGCATGACCCAAGGGTTAGGTTGTGGAAAATGGGCATGACCAAGGGGCCCGGCAGTGTGGGAAGTGGTCTGCCCCAAGGTCATCAGTGGGGAAGTAGGTCAGGGCCAAAGGGGTTTAGGTCTGTTTTGGATGTGGGGGTCATGGCCCAAAGGGGGTAAGGCCAGTGGGGAAGTAGGTAAATGACCAAGGGGTCGGGGGCCCAGTGTGGAAGTAGGTCAGGGCCCGGGGTCGGCCGGTGGGAAGAAAGGTTTCCGGGACCAAGGGTCGGGGTAGGGGGGAAAGTAGGTCATGCCCAAAGGGGTCAGGGTCATTTGGGGAAAAATTTGGTCATAAACCAAGGGCCCAGGTCAGTGGGGGGAAGTACCCCCATCCCCCCCCCCATAAGGGTTTTGGCCCCAATTTGTGGAAGTAGGTCATGCCAAGGGTCTGGTCAGTTGGGTGGGGTATAAGGGTATAGGGGGAATAGGCCCAGGGCCCAAAGGGGGAGGTCGGTGTAAAGTAGGTCAATGCCCAAGGGGTTTGGGGTCATTTGTGAATTTGGTTTCATGACAAGGGGTCAGGCCGTGGGGGAAGTAGGTCATGGGGTAAGGCAGGTAAAGGTAGAGTTCCAAAGGTGGTAAGGGTTGGGGAAGTGGGTTTCATGACCAAGGGTAGGCCGGGTTGGGGGAATGTGGCCCATGCCCAAGGGGGGTCGGGTTTTCAGTGGGGGTGGAAAAGGGACCTGGTAAGTAGGTCATGCCCAAGGGGTCGGGCCAGTGGGGAAAATTTTAAGGTCATGCCCAAGGGTCAGGTCGTGTGGGGGGGTAGGTCATGAAAAAGGGGTTTTAGGTCAGGGGGAAAAAAAAGTAGGTCTGCCCAAAGGGGGTTGGGCCCAGTGGGGGGAAGTAGGTCAGGGCCCAAAGGGGTTTCAGGTCAGTGGGGGGAAAAAAGGTCATGCCCAAGGGGGCGGCCTTTGGGGGGAATTTGGGTCATGCCCCCAAGGGTCAGGTCAGTTTTGGGAAGTGGGTTTAAGGAAAAGGGGGTCGGCCAGTTTTGGGAAGAAAGGTCATGACCAAGGGTCGGCCATTTGGGGAAAGTAGGTCATGCCCAAAGGGGTAAGGTTTGTGGGGAGTAGGTAATAAACCCAAGGGGTCAGGTCAGTTTTAAAAAGTAGGTCATCCCCAAGGGTCAGGCCAGGGTGGATGTAGGTCATCCCCAAGGGTCAGGTCGTGTGGGAGGAAAAGGGTTAAGGATTAAGGGTCATGGCCCAAAAGGGTTTAGGCCCAGGGTGGAAGTGGGGTTTTGGGACCAAAGGGGGCCCGGGCAGTGGGGAAATTTTGGTAAAGGCCCCGGGGTTTCGGGGCCAGGGGGAAAGTAGGTCACCCCCAAAGGGGGCAGGTCAGGGGGGAAAGGGAGGTCATGTCCAAAGGGCAGGTCAGTGGGGAAAGGGTAGGCCCTTGCCGGGGGTCTTTTTTCATGGGGGGAATTTGGTGGGGGCCGGGTCAGGTCGGGTGGAGTAGGTCATGCCCAACCTTGGGGGTATTGGGGTTGGCCTTAATTCATTCCCAAGGGGGTCGGGTCGGGGGGGAAGGGGCCCTGCCAAAATCGGCCCGTTGGGGTGGGTCTTTTGGGACCGTTCGGGTCGGGGGTAGGGCGGCCCCGGGGGCGTGGGGAAGGTGGTTGAATAGGGGGGGAGGCTTTTAAAGGGGAGGCTTTTTTGGGGAAAAAGGGGGGGTATGGGGGGTTTGGGTCATTGGGGGTTTTGGGTTGGAAAGGGTTTTTTGGTAGTTTTTGGTTTTTGGTTGGGGTTTTTGGTTTTTGCCCTTCTTAGGTTGTTTTTTTAAAGTTGTTGGTTGTTGTTTGGTTGGGGTTAAATTTATTGTTTTTTCTTTTTGTTGTTGGGGCCATTGTTTTTGGGTTTTTTTGTTGAGTTGTTTGTTTTTATAAATAGTTTTAAAAATTTAATAAAATTTAATAATAATAATAATAATAATAATAATAATAATAATAAATAATAATAATAATAATAATAACAATAATAATATAATAATAATAAAAAATAATAATAATAATAATAATAATAACAATAATAATAATAATAATAACAATAATAATAATAATAATAATAATAATAATAATAAATAATAATAATAATAATAGTAATAATAATAATAATAATAATAATAATAATAATAATAATAATAATAACAATAATAATAATAATAATAATAATAATAATAATAATAATAGTAATAATAATAATAATAGTAATAATAATAATAATAATAATAATAATAATAACAATAATAATAATAATAATAATAATAATAATAATAATAGTAATAATAATAATAATAGTAATAATAATAATAATAATAATAATAATAATAATAATAGTAATAATAATAATAATATAATAATAATAATAATAATAATAATAATAATAATAGTAATAACAATAATAATAATAATAATAGTAATAACAATAATAATAATAATAATAGTAATAATAATAATAATAATAATAATAATAATAGTAATAACAATAATAATAATAATAATAATAATAATAATAATAATAACAATAATAATAATAATAATAATAACAATAATAATAATAATAATAATAATAATAATAATAGTAATAACAATAATAACAATAATAATAATAATAATAATAATAATAATAATAATAATAATATACAACCAGCGTGATCCTGGAGACAAGTTAACGCCGCTGGTAGCAGAGATGAGCAGTAGTCTGCTGCAGCAGGACACGCTGCTGCTGCTGCTGCCGGAGGACGACCAGGAAGTGATGTACCCGCACGAGGCCGCAGCCGCAGCCGCCGCAGCACGCGACACACTGCCTCGCCAGCGTCGCCGCCGCGGCCTGCGGCCCATCCTAGCGCCTTCGGGGGCGGGGGCAGCGCTCCCCACCGCTACTATCTACATTAAGAACAACTGTGGTGGTGATAATATATGTGTGCCAGACCTGGTTATTGACCTTAATATGTGAGTATTACTTCTTGTAATGTAAAGCGCAAAGGTTCGATAGACGGTTGTGTTGGTGGAGAGTACTATACTGTTGTACAGTAATGTATCATGTACCCACCTATTGTAGTAATGTATCATGTACCCACCTATTGTAGTAATGTACCATGTACCTGGCTACTGTAGTTATCTTATCCCCCCTATCCCTCCTGTCCTCCAATGTCGTCAGGTTGATTTCCCTTAACCTCTCCTCGTAGGACATATCCCTTAGCTCCGGGACTAGTCTTGTTGCAAACCTTTGCACTTTCTTGGCGTGCTTGACCAGGTGTGGGTTCCATATTGGTGCTGCATACTCCAGTATGGGCCTGATCTACACGGTGTACAGTGTCTTGAATGATTCCTTACTCAGGTGTCGAAACGGTATTCTTAGGTTTGCCAGGCGCCCATACGCTGCAGCAGCTATCTGGTTGATGTGTGTCTCAGATGTGCTCAGTATTATACTCACTCCAAGATCCTTTTCCATGAGTGAGGTTTGTAGTCTCTGGTTTCCCTAGCCTATACTCTGTCTGTGGTCTTCTTTGCCCTTCCCTAATCTTCATGACATTGCACTTGGTGGGCTTAAACTGCAGGAGCCAGTTGCTGGACCAGGTTTGCAGCCTGTCCAGATCCCTTTGTAGTTCTGCCTGGTCCTCATCCACTTGTATTCTCTGCATTAGCGTCACATCGTCTGTAAACAAGAACACTTCTGAATCTATCCCTTCCATTATGTCGTTCACATATACCAGAAACAGCACTGGCCCTAGAATTGACCCTTGTGGAACCCCGCTCGTCACAGGCGCCCACTCTGACACCTCTTCACATACCATCACTCGTTGTTTCCTTCCTGTCAGGTATTCTCTGATCAACTGCAGTGCCTTTCCTGTTATTCCTGTCTGTTCCTGCAGCTTTTGCACCAATTTCGTGTGGAACTGTGTCGTAAGCCTTCTTACAGTCCAAGAAAATGCAGTCTACCTACCCCTTTCTGTCCTGTCTTACTTTGTCACTTTGTCGTAAAACTCCAGTAGGTTTAGAACATAAGAACATAAGAACGAAGGAACACTGCAGAAGGCCTACTGGCCCATGCGAAGCAGGTCCAAGTCTCCTACCGGCTTAAGCCAATGCACCCAACCTAGTCAGGTCAGGTCACATTGACTTAAGGGACGAACACGGCAACCGACCTGGTAGCACAAGCTATCAGGTCCAACTCACACCCACCCACATCCACTCATGTATTTATCCAACCTATTTTTAAAGCTACACAACGTTCTGGCCTCTATAACTGTACTCGGGAGTTTGTTCCACTCATCCACAACTCTATTACCAAACCAGTACTTTCCTATATCCTTCCTGAATCTGAATTTTTCCAACTTAAAACCATTGCTGCGAGTCCTGTCTAGGCTAGATATTTTCAGCACACTATTTACATCCCCTTTATTTATTCCTTTCTTCCATTTATACACCTCAATCATATCCCCCCTAATTCTACGTCTTTCTAGAGAGTGCAGATTCAGGGCCCTTAGTCTATCCTCATAGGGAAGGTTTCTGATACATGGGATCAACTTTGTCATCCTCCTTTGTACATTTTCCAGAGAATTTATATCCATTCTGTAATACGGTGACCAGAACTGTGCAGCATAATCTAAATGAGGCCTAACCAAGGATGTATAGAGTTGAAGAACAACCTGAGGACTCCTATTATTTATGCTTCTTGTTATGAAGCCAAGGATTCTATTAGCTTTATTGCGAACACTTATGCACTGTTGTCTTGGTTTCAGATTACTGCTAACCAGAACTCCTAAATCTTTTTCGCAATCCGTAATATTAAGATCTACATTATTTAGTTTATATGTGGCATGGTTATTGTCCTGTCCAACATTTAGAACTTTGCATTTGTCTATATTAAACTGCATCTGCCACTTCTCCGACCACTGCATCAGTATATTCAAATCTTCCTGGAGTGCTCGAATGTCCTCGTCAGAATGAATTCGACGGCCTATTTTGGTGTCATCGGCAAACTTGCCGATGTCGCTCTTTATGCCCTCATCTATGTCGTTTATGTAGATTGTGAACAGCAGGGGGCCCAACACTGACCCCTGTGGAACACCGCTCGTGACGCTTCCCCACTCTGATTTCTCCCCATTTATGCAAACTCTCTGCTGCCTATTTGTCAGCCATGCCTCTATCCAGGAAAAAATTTCTCCTCCTATTCCATGTGCCTTAATTTTCCTCAATAGTCTCTGATGTGGGACCCTGTCAAACGCCTTACTGAAGTCCATATACACAATATCATATTCATTACCATGATCTACCTCCTCAAATACCTTAGTGAAAAAAGTTAATATATTCGTCGTAAGGCAGGAACGCCCCTTTGTAAAACCATGCTGAGATTCGTTGATTAATTTATGCTTTTCAAGGTGGCTACGAACTGACTCGGCAATTATTGATTCCATAAATTTTCCCACTATGGAGGTTAGGCTTATTGGTCTATAGTTCGAAGCTAAGGACCTGTCACCTGTTTTGAAAATAGGTATCACATTTGCCATTTTCCACTTATCTGGCACCATGCCAGTTTGTAGTGATATGTTGAAAAGATTTTTCCTTCCTGAAACCGTGCTGGTTATCGTGTGTAACTCATTTCTTTCTAGGTACTCCACCACTTCTGATAATCTTCTCCATGACTTTGTATACTATTCATGTGTGTGTGTGTGTGTGTGTGTGTGTGTGTGTGTGTGTGTGTGTGTGTGTTTGCTTTTGTATGATTGGGAAGTATATTACTGTATCATTGTATAATGTTATCTCTGCTCTCTCTCTCTCTCTCTCTCTTTCTCTCTCTCTCTCTCTCTCTCTCTCTCTCTCTCTCTCTCTCTCTCTCTCTCTCTCTCTCTCTCTCTCTTTACACAGGGTTTGACAAGGTTAAGGATCCCTAGCTTTATTGACAAGCTATTTACAGGTTAAGGATTCCTAACTTTATTGACAAGCTATTTACAGGTTAAGGATTCCTAACTTTATTGACAAGCTAAGAGCTGTTACCTACATCAGCTCATTTGAAAGCATTTTTATTATGAGACATACAAGTAGGGAACAGGATGAAGTTGGAGCCATCTGTGGGCCAGCATTTTCATTTGATCATCTGACTTTATCTCGTTGACATCATTATGCTGTACGAATGTGTTCCATACTCGAGTCATCCTGGGTATATAGGATCTCAGATGGAGTGATGTTCTGGAGAAGGGTACAGCCAGAGTGAAGTTACTGCTTTCTGCCCGTCTTGTGGCATAAAAGCTTGTTTCACGCTGTCCTCGAAGTGGATCCAAGTGTGGTACTTTGACAATATTGGCCTTGTACATAACTGAAGGCCGCCCACATCCCTCCTATGTTGAAGGCTCTGCTGAAATGACAGATCTATCCAGGATGGGTCCAGGCGAGAGATGAGACGTCTTGCTCTGTTCTCTACTCTGTCAAGCAGTCGCAGATGAGAGGGGGGGCAGGCAAACCAAGAAAGTGGAGCATACTCAAGGTGTGAGCGTACTTGTGCCTCGTACAGAATCTTGCAACCCCTACTGTCAAGCAGATGGGAGATACGGCGAAGTGCTGTAAGCTTCCTGGCTGCCTTGTTTGCAAGATTTACAACATGGTTCTTCATGGTTAGTTTGGAGTCAAATTTCACCCCAAGGATATCAACTTCTTCTCCAGGTGCCAACATCGTCCCATTCATCCTTACTACTGCACCAGCATTACCATCATGGTGCCTAGAGACGATCATCATTTGCGTTCTCTCTCTCTCTCTCTCTCTTTCTCTCTCTCTCTCTCTCTCTCTCTCTCTCTCTCTCTCTCTCTTTAGGAAAGAGGGAGTAAGTAGAATGTGAAGCCTGACTTTAAAACAGAAACCAGATACCACCACCACCACTACCACTACTTCACCACTATCTAACTACCACCACTACCACTACTATCACACACCACCACCCACTACCACTACTATCACCACTACTACTACCACTACACCCTACCACCATCCACTACTCACCACCATTTACCACCCCACTACCACTACAACACCACTACTACCCACTACCACCACTACCACCACTACCACCACCACTACCACCACTCACCACTACTACTACCACTACCACCACTACAAACACCACATTACCACCACCACTACCACTACTACACACTACTACCACCACTACTACCACCACTACCACTACTATCACCACTACTACTACCACTATACCACCACCACTACCACTACTATCACCACTACTACTACCACTACCACCACACTACCACTACTATCACCACTACACACCACACCACCACACACTAACTATCACCACTACTACCACCACCACTACATACTATCACCACTACTACTACCACTACCACCACCACTACCACCACCACTACTACCACCACTCCCACCACTCCCACCACTACCACCACCATTTACCACCACCCCCCCACACCACCCACTACACTACCACTACTACTACCACTACCCCCACCACTACCACCACTACCACCACCACTACCCACCACCACCACCACTACTACCACCACTACCACCACTACCACCCCCAAACACTACCACCCACTACCATACTATCACCACTACTACTACCACTACCCCCACACCACCACCACCACTACTACCACACTACCACCACTACCAACCCACTACCACCACCACTACCAACTACTATCACCACTACTACCACTACCACCACTACCCCCACTACCACTACTATCACACTACTACTACCATTTACCACCACTACCACCCCCACTCACTACCACTACTATCACCACTATACTACCACACTACCCCCTCACTACCATCTATCACCACTACTACTACCACTACCACCACTACCACCACACCATACCACACTATCCCCAAACTACTACTACCACTACCACCACTACCACCACCACTACCACTACTACTATCACCAACTACTACTACCACTACCACC